GTATTTATTATTTTTATTCAAGTACTATTTGTTCCAGGGCAATAAAGAATGCGGTCACTTTCCTGGAGGTGGGTGGTACGGGGGTGGGAAAAGGAGTCAGGCACATGAAAGAAAAATTATTTTGGTTTGGGTGCTCCTTCTTCATGGAAAGGAGCAATAGTAATAAAAATGCAAATGATGCTTGAAGAGATCAAAGAAGAAACCATTCTCACTCATCATTGAAAATGGGGGTATGAGAGATGGGAAGGTGGAAGATGAGACCCCATCCAGTACAGGCTGACATACAGTAGGCAGCCTCTGCCCCTGCAATTGTTATATGTTGCCTCTGTTGCAGCTCTGGGGCACTGATGCTTCCCTAGAGGACGGAACAGAGGGGCAAGCAGAGTGGCACAACCACAGGGCGGAAACAGGTGAGATTACCCTGGGTGTTGGCCTCTTGGATTGGAAGAGGAAGTCAGGGGCCCTGCTCTGAGGTTGACTCACCCCTACACCCAAAGAGGCTAGGCCTCTTGTTGGTCCTGAACCCACAATAAACCCACAGACTTGTTTTTAAAAGATAAATTACTTGTCTCTAATCTCTTCTCGTTGCTAAATACATCAGGGTACTTAAAAATGATAAAACTTCATCTCTGGATAAGGCCCACCATTTGTTCATTTCAGGATGGCAAATGTGGGAAAACAAGGTAAGGTTGTCTGGATGGGGCAGGTGAACCTGCTGTGCAGAGGTCTCAACTGGCTGAACTGGTGCCCTTCCATCATCCTGCCCTTGTAAGGCAAATAAACAACAACAAAAAGCAAACACAGACTCATGGTGTCCCCATGTGCACAGAGTGGAACTGCTTCATAGTGTTTTCAAAAGTGGGAGCTTTCTGAAGCAGATTGCCAGGACTTTCTTCTGCGAAGATTCTATCTACTGCCATCGAGACATTCCAAATCACAGCATCCTATTTGGTGCTTCAGAGATTGTAATTCTTTATGGGAGCAGACAGCCTCACCTTTCTCCTGGGGAGTGGCTAGTGGGTTTGAACTGCTTACTTCTTACTTGGCAGTTAGCAGCCCAACATCTAACCCACAGCACCTCTGGTGGTGGTGGTGTGCCATTGAGTCCGTTCTGACTCATAGCCACCCTGTATAGGGTTTCCGAGGCTGTAAATCTCTACGAAAGCTAAAAGCTTCATCTTTTTCCTGCAGAGCGACTGGTGGATTTGAACCGCTGACCTTCTGGGTAGAAACACAACTCATAATCCACTACACTACCAGGGCTCCTTATAGCACCTCTAGGTGGGTTCAAACTACCAACCTTTTAGTTAGTCATCAACCACACAAATGATTGGGCCTCCCAGTGACTCTTGTGAGAGTAAGTACAAATTCAAAGTAAGGAAGAGCTCCATCCCAGCCCTTTTTCTTTCAGTATTTACTTGAGAAAATTTGTAAGTTCTTTCTCATTTTTGAAAAGTATGTAAACCAAAGAATGTTTACATACTCCTAGGTCTGCAAGGACCTAGGAGCCATCTCTTTAGAAATGTAACCATAAAGGAGGGCGATTCCCTAGCTCATAGTATCCAGACAGGAGGTGAGCGTAATTGCAGGTGGTGCTGGGCTATAAAAAGACTAGAGAATTAGCAAATTTTTCTTGTAATGGGTTATATCCATTTAGCTATATAAAAGAGTAAGATCCTTTGTTGCACTTTTTTGCAATGTCTTCTACCATATATTCTGGATTAATGCTTATTCAGTAACAAAACTTTCTTTGGCTTCTGGTTTTGTGGAGGTTATTTGAGTTGGTAGTAGATTTTGTTTTTTAATTAGATGTCTTCAACACCTCAAACTTGATCATTTTGATCCTCTAATATCTGGTGACTCTCGAGGAAAGTTAGAGAATAGTCCAGTGGCTATCACTCAATGCAGAGATGTTTTTAGGAAGAACTGTGGCATAAATAGGAGCTCCGTGGCTCTGTAGGACAAGCACTGGACTTTGAACCATAAGGTTGGCAGTTACAGCCCACCAGCTGCTCTATGGGAGAAAGATGAGACTTTCTACTCCTGCAAAGATTTACTATTCAGAAACACTCTCCAGGGTCACTATGAGTTGGAACCGACTAGATGGCACTTAACAATGGCAGCATAAATTGGAGTCCTGATGTGGCATTGAAAGATAAGCAGTGGACTGCTGCTCCTCAGAAACCCTATACAGGGTCGGTAGGAGTCTTCAGAACTAACTCGACAGCTCCTGACAACAAAATAGCATACATTCTCAGTCCTTCCCTCTCACCGCTCTCTCTCAAAGCATTGTTTCATTCTCTCTTTTGAAACCAAGCTGACTATAGTGGTTAAGACCTTGATGTCAAATCCTAGCTCCCCTCTACTAAGTGTGTAGTTTGGGGCAAGTTCAAGTTACTTAACTTTCAGTACCTCAGTTCCTTTATTTATTGTTTGCTGCTGTTGAGTTAGCCCCCAGACTTGTGGTAACCCAGGCACAATGGAATGATATGTTGCCTGGTCCTGGACCTGGCTGGTTGTAGATTGGACCGTTGTAATTTATAGGGTTTTCATTGACTGATTATCAGAGGCAGATCATCCAGCCTTTCTTCCTGGTCTGTCTTCAGTCTGGAAATGCCACTGAAACCTGGTCAGCATCATAGCAACACACAAACCTCTGCTGACAGACAGGTGGTATCTTTGTATGAGGTGCATTGGCCAGAAACCAAACCTGGTCTTTTACATTGTTGTTGTTGTTAAGTGCTGTCGAGTTGGTTCCGACTCATAGCAACTCTAGAAGGTTTCCAAGGAGCAGCTGGTGAGTTATACCGCTGGCCTTGCGGTTCAAACTAACCTCGAGTCCAGTGCTTATCTTACAGCACCACACTAGGACTGAAGTCTTCTACACAGAAAGGGAGAATTCTACCACTGAAAATTCAACCCTTATCTGTACAGTTGGGCTAATAGTACCTACTAGTGTTGTGAGGAATAAATGCCTTGGCAAGTACTGTTCCTTAGAAAGATCAACGTAACTACTGTGCTTTACATACAGATAAGAGAGAATCAGAGGTTGGGGCAGGGCTCCTAGTGTGGCACTGTAAAATAAGCATTGGACTGTGAACCACAGGTCAACAGTTGAAATCCTCCAACTGCTCCTTGGAAACCCTATACAAGGTCAGAACCGACTCAATAGCACTTAACAACAACAACAACATGGGAGAATCAGAGGTTGGGAAGGGGTACTGTGCCCATCAAAAATGCATAATTGTGTTTTAAAAGATAAGTTATTGTCTCTGTAATGACTTCTGTTTTCTAAATACAGCATGGGATTTTTAAAATGATAAGACTTTAGCAGGCTGCCTTCTCAGGGGGTTCAAAGAAACATGAGCTATTAGACTAGAGTTACAATAAATCACCTCCCATTAAGTTCTGGTTAGGGTTAGTCAGGGAACGATTCCATTTACCAAAACTGATATGTTTACTTTTCTGTTTGACCTGTGAATGAGAGAATTAGCTATGGGCAAGCTCTCCAAAGTGGCCTGGATTAATTAGTAAAAAATCACGTTGGACTTGGTGTCAGTTGTAGTTTGCTGTTAAGTGCCAGACCAGTTGATTCTGACCCACAGTGCCCCTGTGACTCATGTAACAGAGGAGAACTGCCCCATTGAGCTTTCTGGGCTGTAATCTTTATGGGACCAGATCATTGGGTCATTCTACTGCACAGCTACTGAGGGGGTTCCGACAGCCTGTCAACATTTCCGTTAGGAGAGCCACCAACATTTTGGTTAGCAATGGTTGGCTAACTGTTGTGTTGCCAAGGCACAACCTAGAGCTTCTAACCTCCTACTCAATGTGGCTCATAGTGAGAAGAGGACAGGGTGCTTGGTACTCTGGTCTATAAAATAGGAAGAAAAAGAATGTCTGCTTTGGAGTTGAGATGAGAAGTACAAAGTGCTTTGGGTTCCCACCAAGAGATACTAGATTAGTTCCAAACAGTATCGCCATGCATTACTAATTGTCTTTCCATGACCAAAGGGAAAACAGAAGTCAGAATATAGACAAGGTTAAAAAAAAAAAAAAAGATCAGAGGAAGGAGCCAACGCTGCACCTGGATGGCTAGCAATCACGGGCAGTGTGTTCTCTACTCTAAGCAACTTTCAGGATAACACAGGAACTCAAGAAAAAACAACAGGGAAACAAATCACTGTGCATTAAAGGGACATCTGTTTCTACATCCGTTGTAGAATATCAGCTGTGTACCTATTCCAAAAATTCCACTAAGACTCCAATTCTTAGCGCCGGGGAGGTTTTAAAGATCTGAACCAAATTTCCCTGGCTCTGTGCAATTGTAGCTCTGTGGCTAAGAGGAAACTGTAGCGACACGTAGGGAGAAGACCATGTATGAGGCTGGGACTAGAGACCCAGTCTGTAGCTCAGGACCCAGGCCATCCCGGCTGCTCACTTCCTCCCTCCCTCTTCCACTCCCTCTGCGCCTCAGTTTCCTCGTTTGCCAAACCTGAATTCTGGTCTTACAGATGACCTCTAAGGTCTCTTTTTCTACCACTCCCGCAGAGACTAAATGGAAGGTTCTTAATGCAGAGCGCAATCAGCCTCTCGGGAATGTTTTGCTCAAAGCCCAGAGTACATGCTTGTAGAAAGCGAGACTAGATTGGCCAGAGACGCTGTTCCTAACTGGGAGGAAGGAGAAAGCATTGGCCTCCAACGTTAAGGGAAGAGTGAAAGAATGATGCAAGTGAGTTTTCTAAGAAGTTCCTGGGAGAACTAGCATGGGCTGGGGCGGCGGGACATTGGTATGGGATCCGGAAAGGTGGGATGCTGCAGGGTCTAGCTCCTGTGATGAGTAGGAGAGGACAGAGCCTGGAGGAGCGATGCTAGATCAGGGTGGAGAGCTGGCGCGTGGGCAAGGGCAAGCTGGACCCGTGAAGGTGAGGATGGGCGCTGCCGCGGCCGCACTGGCGGGCAAGGGTCGGGACTGGGGGCGAGGGTGTGTATGTGCTCACCAGGGTCTCCTCCTCGGAAAGGCCGGCCTCGGCTGCGATGAGACACAGCGTGGTGGGGTCTGGGTGCTTGTTGACCTTGTTAAAGTTGTACTCCAGGATCTCCACCTGGTCCTCGGTGGGGCCGCTCGCAGTCTCCGCGGACATGGTCCCGACTCTGTTACTGGGGAGGAAGAAGCGGCGGCGGTCAGCTGGCGGCGGATGGGCCGGACGTGGGGAGGGACTGAGATCGGGGACGCGCCGGAGGACACTCACAGCCGGGGGCTGCCCCTCCTCGCCCAGTCCCTCGGCCGTGAGAGCCCTGGCGGCTGCAGCGGGGGCTGCGCTGGCTGCTCCTCCCGGGTCGCGCCTTAAGTGATCCTGAAGCCGAACCCCCGGGAATTTGCACAGTAACTTTCCTGGAGCCCTTGGGCTGAGATGGTAGGGAGGAAGATGACGCAGTGCGCCCTCCGGGCTCTAAGGAAGGAATGAAGGCAGCACAGAGGTGACTTTGAAAAAACGCCTACAAGCTTCCTCCGGGGTGGGGGGCTCCCCTGGGAGTTCCTCCGGGGTGGGGGACTTGACAGATCGCGAGGGTGGGGTACACCGAGTTTGTGGCGGGGACGCCTCACTGGTACAAACCGTTCTGCCTCGAACGTGGATTAGCACTTGGAGACCTTTGCCAGGAAGGGCTGTACACCTCACATTTCCTCCAAAGACACCACCCACGGAACAGATGTTACTTCTCGCCCAGTCCCTCGGCCGTGAGAGCCCTGGCGGCTGCAGCGGGGGCTGCGCTGTGAAATGTGGAGAACGATCTTAAAGCCCCTTCATTTTATGGAAATGGAGACAGGTCCACGGAGATGCGATTTACTCCTGGAATTCCTAAGTCTATCCGAGGGCTCCTGACTAGCACAGGCCACTGTCCACCTGGAATCACTGTGGAGCGCTGTTCTACAGTCTGCTACCTCCTCCAAGCGCCCCCTCCCCACCCCAAGCCCACGGTTCACTGTTTCCGAATGACGCTGGGACTCTAGGCCTCCTCTTCTAGGGATGCATCCATCACAGGCCACAGTTTGTAGATAAAGGATCAAAGTCAACCTTCTTTTAACTTCGGACTTCCCCTGTGGTTGTACTAAAATTTACTATCAAGTCAGGAGAATAGGCCCATCACAAGCTTCAAGGTCTCTTGTTTCCCCTTCTTGTTAAGTGCTGTCAAGTTGATTCCTACCCGTAGCGACCCTGTATAGGATTTCCGAGGAGCATCTGATGAGCTTGAACCACCGACCTTGCACTTCAAAGGGCTTTGCCGGCTGGCGCGTTAACCCTTCGCGCACCACACCAGAACTTCCTTGTTTCCTTTTACTTTAATCCAAAAAACGAAATCTACTGCCGTCATGTTGATGAGGACTCTCACTGACCCTATAAAATAGGGTAGCTCCATAGGGTTTCCTCTGGTAGCGTAGTGGTTATGAATCGGGCTGCAAACTTTAAGGCCAGCGGTTCGAAACTACCAGCCGCTCTGCGGGAGAAAGATGAGGCTTTCTACTCCTGTAAGGATTTACACCCTCGGAAACCCTGTACAGGGTCGCTATGGGTCGGAACCGACTCGACAGCACTTAACAACAATAACAACATAGGGTTTCCAGAGCTATCAGTCTTTACGGACACAGACTCCCTCATCTTTCCACTTCAGAGTGCTTATGGGTTCCAAACACAGACATATGGTTAGCAAACCAATGCTTAGCCCATTGCACCGTAAGGGCCCCTCCTCACTTTAAAGAAGGGGCAAATTTCCCAGTGAATAAGGTAATTGCCCTGATTACTTGTGCTTATTTACTAAACTGTAGTGCACAATTTTACTACAGATTAGTAAGAAAGGACAAGTAAGCCAGAACTTACTTTGTTTATTGGGTAATCTGACACTGCTTTAGTGCCAACATTGCTCTAGCAGACATTCTCTTAACTAAGCAATCCATGAATAGGGCAAAGAAAACTCTTGTGTACCCCTCCTCTGCCTCTTTCAATTCAAAATGCATAGGAACTTGGAGTCTGAGATCCTCTTGACCTTGAGCTTAGTTAGTGTAGACAGGCTAGGACTTGCTGCTGACAGTAAAAGACAGTGCCTAAGTATAGGAATCATGTTAGTTTGTTGTTTTTACAAACAATTATAAAATCACCCAGCACAACCTGAATAGTTTTGATGTGGTTTCTGTCTGGGGATGAGCTCCAGCCCGCTGATCTGCCTATATAGCATTCCTGATGCGGTTCCAACCTGTATCTTCTGCTCACTGAATGTCGTTTCATTTAGGCCACCTTAAAGGAACCCTGGTGGTACTGTGATTAAGTGCTCAGCTGCCAACCTAGAGGTTGGTATTTTGAGTCCACCAGCTGTTCCTCAGGAAAGAATACCTGGCAACCTGTTCTGGTAAAGATTACAGCCTTGGAAACCCTATGGGGAAGTTCTACTTTGTCCTATAGGGTAGCTCCCAACTTTATTGATATACAAAAGCATGATGCAAACAGTTAACATGGTTATCAAAAAAGAAATGGTTAAAGTCCGCCAGGAGGCGTGTCAGAAGAAAGGCCTACTTACGAACTTCAGAACGATTACAGCCTTTAAAAACTCTATGGAGCACAGTTTTGCTCTGACACACATGAGGTCGCCTTGAGTTGGAACCAACTCAATAGCAACTGGAAGTGGTAAGACCACTTGAAGAAGTTTTCAGTCAGAACCAGAACGTTGTTTTCTATTAGAGTGTCTTGGGCTCAAGTCATTTGCCAAATCAGTGTAACCACCCCCTTGAGTTTTAGGAGGTCCTGTGCTCCCCCACCTAAAAATCTACATCAGTGTGTCCTGCCCCAGTGCTGAGGCAGGAGGTGGGGAGTCAAACAAGCTCAGACACATGCTGACTCCTCTTGTGTTGACTCCACACCCATCTTTGTTTGGCACAGAACTTCAGAACTGGAAAGAACATTGCCGAGGACCATCTCTAGTGCTCCCCTCAGAAGGATGGGGCACACACAGGAAGACCAACTTTCTCAAGGTCACCCAGTTAATGGCCAGCACCCTAGAATGGAAAGTGTTAGCTTCTGTTGCAGTCCTGTGCTCTGCGAAACCTGCCTCAACAGGTAAAGTCTATCTCTGGTTTGGCATAAAAATTAGGAGGGCAACAGTTTAAATACAGGCAAAGGCTCATTGTGATTTGAATATGCATGAGCATAGACCTGGCCGTCCTGTAAGAACACTAATTCTGGTTGAAATTGCCCACGGAAAGTACCACGATTGCACATCTAGTCTAAATGAGTACAGGAGAGAGGACTCCGCTGTCTTTGTTTTTATTTTTGTTGTTGTTAAGTACCGTCGAGTCAGTTACAACTCATAGTGACTGTGTATAGGGTTTCCAAGGAGCAGCTGGTGTGTTTAAACCTCTGACCTTGTGGTTCAAACAGCCCTTTCAGTTTGTAGTCCAGTGCTTATCCTACAGTGCCACACCAGGACTCCACTTGTGATATATATAGATATATGTGTGTGTGTGTGTGTGTATGGAGTCCACTTGTAGTAAATACATATATATGGAGCCCTGGTGTGGCACTGTAGAATAAGCACTGACCCGCTAACCATAAGGTCAGTGGTTCAAATTCACCAGCTGCTCCTCAGAAACCCTATACATGGTTGCTATCAGTCAGAACTGACTCCATGGCACTTCACAACAAATATATATATAAATATTTGGCAATTTGATAATTTTGACATCATTGTGTATGCTCATCATGTTGTGTAATCTTTTCCAAGTTATTCAATCATCATTAACATAAATTCAGTAACCTCTAAGCAGTCTTTTTCCCTTTTCTCCGCCTTCTCACCCGACCACCTTCCCACCCACTGCCTTCGAGTCTATACCAATTCATAGGGACTCTTTAGGACAGTGTAGAACTGCCCATAGGGTTTCCAAGACTAAATCTTTACAGGAACTTACAGCTTCATCTGTCTTCTAAAGAGTGACTGGTGGATTTGAACCACCGATCTTGCAGTTAACAGCCTAATGTTAACCCACTGCATCACCAGGCCTCCTTCTTTTATCTCCAGGTAACTACTAGTAAACTTTAGTCTCTATGAATGTGCCTATTCTCAGTATTTCATGTCAGTGGGATCCTTCTCTGTTTATTTCACTGTGGTGCTGTAAGATAAGCACATGACTGCAAGGTGGATTTGAACTGCAACACCGACGGGTCAAACTTACCAGCTGCTCCTTGGCAACCCTATACAGGGTTGCTATGAGTCAGAACCAACTCGATGGCACTTAACAACAACATTTTCATGGTTTATGCATGTTATAACATGTATCAGAACTTCATTCCTCTTTAGGGCTAAACAATATTCTAGTGTCTATTAGAATATATGTATCTTTTATCTATTCATCTATTGATGGGCATTTAGGTTTTTTCCACCTTTTGGCTGTTGTGAACAGTGCTCCAAAGAACATGAGTGTCCAGCCTCTGATTTTATTTCTTGCCTTAGAAAGTTTCCATCTGATTCCATTTCCAGTTATGCTGTGTTTTCCCTGGGGGGGGGGGGGGGGGAGTTTCCAGTTCTTTTCTTTGTAGACTCTTCAGTCCTTCAGAAATATTAATCAAATTTGATTTCTAAATTGGATTCAGAGTCAAGGATAGTTAGACATGTCTCCCCCTGCCTCCTTTTGATCTTCATTTGAGTGCTGTTTTATAACTCAAGTGCTACTAATGTCCTCACACGAATCAGCTGTGTTTTGTTTTATTAGATTTCTATGGCTTCTCTTACACAGCTTTGTATGAAGTTTCTGGGGGAGGTCTTGATTTACTTGAAAGAACTCCTTGGATTAGTTAGTTGGATGAGAGCCACTGGACTTGGTTAGCTGCTAAGGAGTCTTGAGGGAGGGCCATTTAAAAGCACCTGCTTCTCTGAGATGCACCAAACAAACAGCCTGTTTCTAGAAATGAGGGTGAAAGATCAAAGCTTTACATTCAGATCTGCCTTATCTTTCTCTACAAAGCTCAGTCTTGTAAGTTAATGAAGGACCCCTTCGTTTCTTCTCTTTCTCTTTTTTAAAGGAAATGTATAAACCAAATCTCCTTAGTAACCTTGACCTTATAAAGCTTTTCAACTGTTTCCAGCAAGGAAACAGTTG